GCTTTCCGCTGGTTGGTGCGTCGCTGCGGCCGCGCTAGCGCGCGCAGGCTCGCGCGCAAAGCGGCCAGTTTGTCTAGCGAAGCCGGCGCAGCCGCGGTGGCGCTGACCGCCGGGACTTCCAGCGCGTCTCGAAGGCTGCGCTCACGCGCGGGCGCATCAGTGCGAGTCGGTGCCTAGGGCGGGCGCGGTATCATGGCGACGTCGGCAGTTGCGGACACGATGACGATAGTAGCGATGCCGGCGACGATGATGACCGTGACGACGGCATGGGCAATGACGGCGCCGATGCTGATCACGCCGATAACGATGATGCTGTCCTCGCGTCGGCGATGATGGTTTGGAATGATTTCGACATGCGCGCGCGGTCGACGCGGGCGAGTTGCCCGCATGGTAATATTTGACCGGGGTCGTGCCCCCCTCCCCCCCCATGCGGCAGCGATTGCAATGACTGTTTGTGGCCCGTCGCTGCGGCCGCGCAAGCGCGCACAGGCTCGCGCGCAGAGCGGCCAAGTAATCTGGTGCGACCACGCGGCCACGGTGACGCTGGCCGCTGGGGACTCCACAGCGCGACTCGCAAGCCGCGATGACGCGCGGGGACTTCAGTGCGAGTCGATGATTCGGGCGGGCGCGGTATCATGGCGACATCGACAACGGGAGACACGATGATTGTAGCGATGCCAGTGACGACGATGACGATGACGATGGCAAGGGCAATGCCGGCGCCGATGCTGATCACGCAGATGACGATGATGGTGTCATATGGTGTCCACGCGTCGGTGATACAAGCTTTGGAAGAATTTCGACATGCGCGCGGTCGACGGGCGAGAATGCTCCGCATGATGTTATTTGGCAACGATCGTGCCCCCCAGTAGGCGCGCAAAGGCGTTCGAATGATTGCGGCATGCACGCGCGAAGGGCCCGTTTGGTCGCATGTGGTGAACATGTTGGGATAAACCTATGGCATTCGTAAGGATTCGGGAGAACGCGCGCAAACTTTCTTGAAAATAGTGCGAAACACATATTGTTTTTATATGTTGTCAGGAAACTCGATCCAGAAATCCGCACGAAACCACAATCAGTTTGAAATATTTCGGCAGGTGTGCGCGACCAGCGGCGCGTGTCGACTTCGTCACGTTTTTTGCAAGGGACTTGTGCCCCCAGCAAGCGCGCAAAGGCGTTCAAATGATTTCGACGTGCGCGCGCGAGGGGCCCGCTAAATCCTATGTGATGACGATGTTGAAACTTCATGGCTGTCTTGCAAACTCGCAAGAGCGAGGGCGCAATTCTTTTTGAAAAAAACACGTTACAAAACCATTGGTTGTGATATGTGTCGGGAACCTCGATCTTCAAGTCCTTACGAAACCTAAGGTTTGTAACGGATTTCGACATACGCGCGCGCGTGACGACGCGCGAATGCGGACCTGGTCGAATCTCACCAGACGTTTGGGCGACAGGTGGTCTAAGGAGGGTCTCCTTCCTCTTCCACAACCCCTCCCGTTTCCCTTCGGGGAGGGGAACCTTCCCCCTCCCCTCCCTGAGGTTTTTTTGGAGGGGCCGCAAGGTGTCAGAGGGTCCTTTCTCATTTTTTTTCGGCCCCTGGGACGGCAAATTTTTGACACCCCTCACGAGGATCGTGGCCCCCGAAAGGGAGGACGAACATCGAGCGCACCCCTCTTTTGACCGGCCGCCTCCAAGACGGCCCCAAGAGGCCCCCCAGGGATCTCAAGAGGCTCCCAAGAGGGCCCGAAGAGCGCCCCAAGAAGCCCCAAGAGGCCTCCAAGAGGCACCCGAGAGGCCTCCAAGAGGCCCCGGGAGGCTTCAGAGAGCCCAGTATGACCTCCAAGATGGCTCAGATAGCCCAAGCCTGCCCAAGATGGCTCCCAAGATGCTCCAAGCGGCCCCGAGACCGCTCCAAGACGGCTCGAGATGGCCGCTAAGCCTCCCAAGCCTCCCTCACTGTTTGACTATGCGTGTCTCTTCCTCTCTCCCCCCGCCAACTCTCATGGGCATCGTTTTTGGATGGGCTGGTTGGGATACTTTTTTGATCGCAAGCGCACGGGGACACGCCGGACGCCGTCAAAGAGACGCATCAAGCGGGCTACGAGCGAATTGCGCACCTAGAGGAGGGAGGGGAGGCAACGAGAGGACAGCGGAAGGAGGAACGAACAGGAGGCGGGTCTCGCTGCCGCTCAGAAGAGGGCGCCGTCGATTCGGGGGGGGAACAGCTGGTGGGGATACTTTTTAATCAGCGGCCGCAGGCGAAGGCGCCGACGGCGCGTCCAGTCAGAGCGGGGCGCGCAAAGACGAATTAACCTAAAGCCGATGGGCCGAAGCCTCACGCGGCACCTCGGCGGCCAGGCCGGCGAGTGGAGGCAGGCTGCTGAAGGCGGCTGCCAGGGTAGCTGCAATGCCAGGGGTGCACGCATGCATCGAGCTGCAGGGGACAGGCGGGAACAGAACGACGGGCCGAGCGACAACTAAGCGCGGCCGAAGCCTCAGAGGGAGAGCTGCCGGGACTGAGCTGGGGGGGACTGCCGCGTGAACAGCTGCAAGTCAGTCGGAGGCGTCACGCGTCGGGAAGTCAACGACGGCCAGGGACAACACCGAAGAGAAAATGATACACCGTATCCCAGACGTCGGCGTGGGCACCAGGGTGGCTGGGGCCAAAGAAGCGTCGGTCGAGGTGGTGAAGAGAAATGCAAAGGCGAGGCCCCGGGCGGCGCAAAGCGCGGATACCAGGGTGGTCCAAAGGACCGTCGACGAAAGAATTGTTGCCAGAAGCGAAGCGTTGGCAGGCTGCAGCTCCCAGGGTGGCGGAAGCCGAGGGACCCCTAGCAGCAGCACGCACGAGTGCGGGGAAGCGGCATAGCCGCGACGCAGCTGGTGTGGATACGCGAAACGTTAAGAATTTGTTGCAAGGTTTTTGTATCGCAGAAAAAGGACGATTCCCCAAACAGCTTGCTGAAGGGGGTGCTGTTTTGGAAGACGGACGGGCGACAAGAGACATCCTCAAGAAAATGTGGCGGTCCAGGGGGTCGTTTCGCCCGAAACATCCTCAGAACTTCCGTTTCTGAGCTGGCTGGATTGGGCGTTGGGCCTGAAACAGCGCGTTCCGCCTGCGACATCCTCGCAACTCTGAGCTCCGAGATGCCGCGCGAGAACGGGTCAGCGAGTTTCGCCTGAGACATCTTCGCAACTCTGAGCTCCGAGATGCCGCGCGCGAGGTGGTGCGGCCCGTTTCGCTTGAGACATTGCAACTCTGAGCTCGGAGATCCCGCGTGAGAGGTGGTCCTGCCCGTGTCGCTTGGAAACTCCTCGCAACTCTGGGCTCCAAGGTGCCGCGCGCGAGGCGGTTGTGCCCGTATCGCCTGGGACATCCTCGCAACTCTGAGCTCCGAGATGCCGCGCCAGAGGTTGTCCGCCGATTTTTGCTGGGCACATCCTCGCAACTCTGAGTTCCGAGATGTCGCGCGCGAGGTCGTCTGACCCGTTTCGTCTGAGTCATCTTCGCAACTCTGGGCTCCCAGATTCCGCGTTAGAGCTGGTCTGGCGCGTCTCGCCTGAGACATCCTCTCAATGCCGAGATCCGAGATGCCGCGCGCAAGATGGTTCCGTTTCGCTTGGAACCTCCTCGCGCCCTTGAGCTCTGAGATGCCTCGCGCAAGGCGGCCCAGCCCCTCGGCTCATCCTTCCACCCGCCTCTCTCCCCCTGCCTCCCCCATGCCTCCCACTCCCTCCTCTCGCCTCCCGCCTGCTGCGCCTCTGCCTCCGCTTCCCCGTCGCCGCCTCCGACATTCCGGCCGCCTCGGCATGCGCCATGCACGCCTCGCCCTCCGCCCTCCCCAGACATCCGGCGTCACGATGTTCGTGTCGAGGCGTGGGCCCGCGGACCTCCCGAGACGTGGGCACGCAGGCCTCCCGTGGGCGTATTGCACGACATGTGGCACACAGCCTGGCCCAACCGCCCTGTCTGTTACCAACGCCATGTTCTCCCACACGGGGCAGACGTGCGAACGCAGTTGGAAACCATGATGCAGCTTTGATGAGCGAGTGCGCGAGCATGTCATTATTTGTCAGGGGTGAGGGGGGCGGGGGCGACAGCGGCCTGCCTGGGATGCTATGAATTCAGATTTCGAATGCACGATGTGGCAGAATCGCCCGTACATTAAACTATCCCAGGGAGGAGAATAAACCCGCAGGGGGGGTAGATCCGAACGTCTTCTTCGAAAGGAACATCTAGGCGGCGACGGGGCGGCGACGGCGACCACGGAGCAGCCAGACCAGCAGCCAGGCCCAGACGACGGACGGCGACGAGGCGGCCACGGGGCAGCAACGGCGACCACGCAGCCGCCAGACCAGCAGCCAGGCCCAGACGACGGGCGGCGACGAGGCGGCGACGGGGCGGCGACGGCGACCACGGAGCCGCCAGACCAGCAGCCAGGCTGCGCTCGCTTCGAGCAAGAGGCAAGAACCCCTACGCGCAAGCACTGTTTAGGTGTACAAGAAATGAGACTCAGTCACTGTTAGAAAAGTGGCATGAGCTTCAACTTTCGGAGGTCCGCGAAGATTTCTTGGGTCTGCGCTGGACCCCTGGCGGCGCCTCCGGCGCCGCCCTTGACGCGCTCCGCGCGCCAGGGAGGGGGTCCATCGCCGATCCAAGACATCCGCGCGGCCTGTCAAACGCTTTTGCTAATGTTGAGTTTGTTCTTCGACAGGAGGAGTGAGAGAGGCCGGAGAGGGTGCCGAGACAGTGGACGAAGGGGCGCGTTTCATCGCGTTTCTCCATCGAGACAAGCAACGTCTCGACGCCGCGGCGACATGTGACGCCGGATGCACAAGCCTACTGGCAGTACTTGCTGGCAAACTGTCGGTCCGCGCGGACCGTCAAAAGTGAGGAAGGCCGGAGAAAGTGCCGAGGCAGTGGGCGAAGGGGCGCGCTTCTCCATCGAGACAAGCAGCATCTCGACGCCGCGGCGACATGTGACACTAGATGCACAAGCCTACTGGCAGTACTTGCTGGCAAACTGTCGGTCTGTGCGGAACGTCGGCTTGTAGGTCTGAGACATCATCCGGTTGATCTTGAGCGTCTCGCAGGCGTTCATGCAGAGGTCCTCGTCGTCGTCGTCGTCCTCCTCCTCCTCCTCCTCCTCGTCCTCGCCGTCGTCCTCGTCGTCCTCGTCGTCGCCCTCGTCGTCATCGTCGTCGGTGTCGTCCTCGTCGTCCTGGTCGTCGTCCTCGTCGGCGTCGGCGTCGTCGTCGACCGCGTCGTCGTCGTCGTCGTCGTCGTCGTCGTCGTCGTCGTCGTCGTCGTCGTCGGCCGCGTCGTCGTCGTCGTCGCCTGCGTCGTCGTCGTCGTCGTCATCGGCGTCGCTCCCGTCCGCAGAGGTCCTCCGCAATGATGTGGCCGGTCGCACCTGCGCAATCTTTCCTCGGACAACGGCACCCACCGCACCACGGCCAGCCCTGGCCAGGACCACCCCGGGCCCCTGAGGCCTGCTGCGGTGAAGCACCGGAAGAAGAAAACTCTGCATAAAAAGCATAAGCTTTCAGAGTCCGCGCGGACGTCTTGGGTCTACGCTGGGCCAGCCTTTGCGCGGAGCGCTCCAGGGGCGACGGCGACGCTGGTGGCGCCGCCGGGGGGGGGGGGCCCAGCGCCGATCCGAGAAATCCGCACCAGCCCAGCTCCCTCGCAGCTCTTGGGCCAATCCCAACCCTAAGTCCCCAGTTCCCGGGGCCTTCATCGGGGGTGGACAGAATCCCCGTTGGCAAAACACCCTTGCATGAAAACGACCTGGGGCTTGGAGGTGGATGGGGGGTATGAACTGGTTGGGACTCCAGAAAGGCGGTCAGGAGGAGGGGTTGACGCCAATTCCGCTCAACATCCGTCCCCAAACCCATCCCGGGGTCCATCTGGTGCAGGTTGTCGCCCCCGGAGGCCGAAACATGTTTTCAAATAGTAATAATAATAATAACAATAATAATAATAATACTAATAATAATAGTAATAATAATAATACAAATGATAGTAATAATGATAGTAAAAGTAATAATAATAACAATAATCATCATCATCTTCTCGACCCCCTAACCTCGAACCTGCCCTCTCTTCCTGCTGGCCAGGACCAGTGCTGGGCCACCTCAGACCCCCAGACGGCTCCAAAGGACACAAAGCTTCGCGCGTCGCACCGCGCCCCGCGCGATCATCTACGTCGTCGTCGTCGTCGTCGTCCTCGTCCTCGGCGTCGTCGTCGTCGACGTCGTCGTCGTCGTTGTCGTCGGCGTCGTCCTCGTCGTCCTCGGCGTCGGCGTCGACGTCGTCGTCGTCGTCGTCGTCCTCGGCGTCGTCGGCGTCGACGTCGGCGTCGACGTCGTCGTCGTCGTCGTCGTAGCGTCGTCCTCGTCGTCCTGGTCGTCGTCCTCGTCCTCGTCCTCCTCGTCCTCGTCGTCCTCGTCGTCCTCGTCGTCGTCGTCGTCGTCGTCCTCGTCGTCCTCGTCGTCGTCGTCGTCGCGCCGCGCGCCGACCCCCCTGGAGAGGGGCAGCTCCTCCGGCCCAGGCCGCCGGGCGCGGCCCGTCCTCGAGGCCCGGCCGTGGCGGAAGGCCCTCGGCACCGAGGGGAGGGGGGGAAGCGCGCGCGGGGGGGCCGCGGCTCGCAGGGCCTCGAGGCGCGAGGCCTTCCGACGAGCTCCGAGGCTCGGGCTCCGAGGCGCGAGGCTCTGCGACGAGCTCCGAGGCTCGGGCTCCGAGGCTCGGGGCTTCGAGGTGCGAGGCTCTCCGACGAGCTCGTCGCTTCTCGTCGCGCCGCGAGCCTCGGGATGCCTTCCGTCGGCAGCGCCCCGCCGAGAGCGGGGGCGCCAGGGTCGTCCCGAACGGCCGCCGGAGGCCCGAGTGGGAGGGGGCAGGCCAAAAGCGGACGTGTCAGCAGGCGCCTCCGGGGGGGAACGTCACGGGGGGACCGGGCTCAGGGGCGGCTCGAGCTGCGAGGTTCCAGGCCTCTGACATTATCCGACATTCTCGTTGGTTCGCGGCGGTTTTCCAGCCTCGGGACTCCTTCCAGCGGCTGCGCCTCGCCGAAAGCATGTCGGAGGATCCCAGATCGTCCCGAACGGCCGCCGCAGGACCGAGCCATGACCCGACAAGCAGCAGGGGACTGGCTCCATCAAGGGGGGGGACAACATCGACCTGGAATCGGCGAGGCATCGCCGATAGAGATCGGCGGTAGGCTGCCACTCGCGAAACCACACGGTCCTGGGCGGGGTGGGCTGTCGGGCCCCTATCGGCGGTCACTGGGCGATTGGGGGTCGATGTATCCTCCCCTGGGCTGGAGGAGGACAACGGCATAAACATAGACTGTTGGAGGTCCGCGCGGGTGTCCTGGATCTGCGCTGAACTTCCCTCCCTGGCGCGCGGAGCACGCCAGGGGCGGCGCCGCCGGGTCCAGCGCAGATCCAAGACAGCCGCGCGGAGCTCCGACAGTTTGTGCCTAGGCCATGTGCTCCTCGATGGGCCCATGGCCCCCGTAGAGCTGCCCCCGAAGCACGCACCCGTCCAGGGGCCCCACGGAAGGGCCCAACCGTGGCTCGCTGCGGTGCGGAGTTGCCGGCGCCCTGCTTCCCGCGAGACTCGTACCACGGGAAGCGCATCACGGACCAGTGTTCGCCGCCGGGCTTCACGACGCGGCAGCAGATGTCCTCCGGGGGGCTCTCGCACTTCTGGAGGGCCTGGCTGCTGCACTTGGAGCAGTCGTCGAAGCACTTGCCGAGCGTGAAGAGCCCGTACGAGCTGCCCTTGCACTCCTTGGTCTCCTTGTTGTTGGGGGTGGCGACCTTGATCCTCTTCTTCACGATCTCGTCCGAGGTGTCGTCCTTGTAGTCGTCCCTGGTGTCCTGGCAGCAGCACTTGGAGCACTGCTCGTCGCTGCACGCGGTGGACACATTGGAGCCCTCGCGCCGCTCGTTCTCTCCTTCGGAGCTGATGCCGACCTGGATCCACTCCGAAGAGATTGCGCTGAACTCCTGAGGGGAACGTTACGGGGCAGAAGTTTCGAGATCCGAAGTTTTGGGGTGTTTTCGCTGGTTCTCGGCGGCCTTCCAGCCTCGGGATGCCTTCCAGCGGCTGCGCCTCGCCAGGAGCGTTCCGGGGGTTCCCGGGTCTTCCCGAACGGCCGCCGGAGGCCCGAGATGTGACCCGAAGAGCACCAGGGGACTGGCTCAGGGGGGACTGGCTCGACCTGGCACTGGCGGTACTACATCGCCGATAGATGACAATATCGAATCCATACGCTCCTGGGCAGGGTCGGCTGTCGGGCGTTGCATGCATGGGGGAGGAGGAGGAGGAGGAGGAGGAGGAGGAGGAGGAGGAGGAGGAGGAGGAGG